TCGGGCCAACCCGAGTCCCCCGTACCCGAGTCTTACGTCTCCCCGATATGTGCGCGTCGCCCCCCCCCCCCCCGGGGGCGACGCGCGCGCGCGCCGAGGAGTCTTGCAGTGTGGGCTCCGTGGCGGGCGCTCGCTGGCCACGCCGCTCGGGAAGCCATCTGCTGCACGATGCTCGTGTGCTGTATGTTCGGTTCGGACGGGCGCCTCCGAGGAGGACACGCACTGATGAGCCTGTTTCCCACCACCACCAGCACGAGAAGTTGGAGGGGGGAAGGAGGAGGAGGAGGAGGAGGAGGAGGAATAATAACAATAATCATGCGCATAGTAATACTATTCAGAAACATAAGCATCATAATATGAGTGATAATAATAAGAAGACGAACAATGAGAAGAACACGCGTACCAATAATAATGATACTAAGACGAATGATAATAATGATACAACGAACAAGAATACGAATCATAAGAAGAAGACGAATCATAATAATGATATGAAGAATAATAGCACGAATCGTAATCATAAGAAGAATAAGAAGAATACTATGACGATTAATATGACTAATAATACTAATCATGATACTAACAACAATAACAGTTATACGAATAAAACGAATAATACGAATAATGATAGTAATGCGAATCATAGTAAGAATAATATGAAGAATATGACGAATAATGTTAGTAGTAATAATAATACGAATAAGAGGAGGAGGAGGAGGAGGAGAAGGAGGAGGAGGAGGAGGAGGAGGAGGGCCCCCCCTCCAACTTCTGGCGGTGGTGGAAAACACGCCCACCACACGCATGGTGCCAGCACGCTGCTGCTGCCTCCCCCGCTGACCTCTGCCCGCCCCCCCCCTTGTGGCGGGAGAGCGCACTCGTGCCCACCGCCCCCCCGGGGAGCTCCGGGGCGGGACTCCGAACTCGGGGGCCCCCAAACGGTGTGGTGACCACACCGTGCGGTGAGTCGGTGGGGATTCGGGGTCACCGCACGGTTTTGGGACTCGAGTCGTTCTCCGAGGATGTCTCGGGCGACAGGGGCCTCCGGGGTCCCAAGACCGTGCGGTGACGGACGGTGAGGTCTTGGGGGATTTCGAGGTCACCGCACGGTCCGTCACCGCACCGTTTCGGGACTCCACACGAACCCCGGCAGCCGCGGCATCTGCTCTGCCTGGCGGCGCAGGGCACGGCCTCCCCATCGAAGAAGGAAATCGCCGCATGAGCTGTTCGCAAAGGCCAAGACCGTTTACCTTGTTCTGGTCGCCGTGCCCCAGATTGTTTGCAGACAGATAGACAAACAAACCATAGCCCAGGCGGCGCGTGGGCGTGAGCACAAACGGAAAATACAGCGCACTCTCCTTCGGGCCACAGGGCGGGCCGACAAACAAACGCGGGCAAGGCAAGGCACAGGGGGGCACGGGGAAGCGAGCCGAGGAGCGAGGGGTTGGAGGCAGGGGGGCTGGGAGAGGGGATAGAAGAAGAAGAAGAAGAAGAAGAAGAAAAGAACACATCAGCATAAACTTTTGGCGCTCCGCGCGGATCTCTTGGATCCGCTCCTGGGACCCCCCGCGGCGCCACCGGCGCCGCCCCTGGCGCGCGGAGCGCCAAAAGTTTATGCTGATGTGTTCTTTTCTTCTTCTTCTATCCCCTCTCCCAGCCCCCCTCCCTCCAACCCCTCGCTCCTCGGATCGCTTTCCCGTGCCCCTCTGTGCCTTGCCTTGTCCGCGTTTGTTTGTCGGTCCGCCCTGTGGTCCGAAGGAGAGTGCGCTGTATTTTCCGTTTGTGCTCAGGCCCACGCGCCTCCTGGGCTATGGTTTGTTTGTCTATCTGTCTGCAAACCAGTTGGGGCACGGCGACCAGAACAAGGTAAACAGTTTTGGCCTTTGTGAACAGCTCCGTGGAAATAGGCGCTCAGTTCTCTCCCGCGTTCCAGGGTGTCCAGACCTGTTCACCAATCATGCACTGTTCCGTGAGCCCCGCTTGTCCTGCGAGGGGTATCCTTATCAAGGCGTTGTGTTTCCCGTTCTTTCCCGTTCAGGTTTTCAACCCTTTTCGGCTCCAGAGGTGGCTCCAGGAAATTCGCTATGGTGATGTATCCTTCACCAAGACTGGCCCAAAGCTCCTCCCCGAGGGTCCAAATACGGCCCAAGAGAGTCCCAAGAGCACCCTCCCAAGAGGGTCCGAGAAGGAACCGTATGCCTGAGTTTGGAGGGCACAAAAGGTCGCAAGATGGCACGAGATGAGGAGGAGGAGGAGGAAGAAGAGGAGGAGGGCAGGAACGCGGGGCGCTGTCCTTGCCAAACGAGGGCCAACACCTCAAGATGGTTGGGACATTTGGAGAAACACGATCTCCGTCGTGTTTCTCCCGTCTCCCCTCCCTTACTCCACCCCCTCCGTGCCATCCCGCCTTGGGCTCTTGAGGCTCTCGGAGCCATGGTATGCTGGAGGGTTTGGGTCCTCGTTTTGCAGGGAAAGCGCCTCGCGTTCCTCACCTCCCGCCTGCCCCACCTCCCTCCTCTCATCCCTGCCTCTGCCCTCCGCACGCCAACTATTTCCGCACCCTTCACACGTTTTGTGACCTCGTGGGGAGCGCGAGCGCCATTGAAGGCTCTAGTGGCACAGTCCGCATGGCGGCGCCGCACCCAATTCGACACACCCCTCACACGTCTCGTGGCCCCATAGGGATCTCCGCAAAAGGCCCTTCTGGCGCAGTCTACGTGGCGCTGCCGCAAGTCTACGTGGCGCTGCCGCACCCGCTTCGGCACACCCCTCACACGTCTCGTGGCCCGACAGGGGGGCTCCACCGAATGCCCTAGTGGCGCAGTCCGCATGGCGGCGCCGCACCCATTCCGGCACACCCTTCACACGCTTCGTGCCCCACAGACAGCTCCGCCGAAGGCCCCAGCGGCGCAGTCCGCATGGCGGCGCCGCATCCATGTCGGCACACTCCTCACGCGTTTCGTGGCCCCATAGGGAGCTCCCCAGAAGCCCCTAGTGGCACAGTCCGCATGGTGGCGCCGCATCCATGTCGGCACACCACTCACATGTTTCGGGGCCCCACAGGGAGCTCCACCGAAGGCTCTAGTGGCACAGTCCGCATGGCGGCGCCGCATAAATGTCGGCACACCCCTCACACGCATCATGTTCCCGTGGGAAGCTCCACTGCTTCACCGAAGGCCTGGGTAGCACAGTCTGCATGGCGGCACTTCCCATTTCGGCCCACCCCCCTCATTCGTTTCGTGGCCCCATAGGGAGCTCCACCGCAGGCCGAAGTGGCACTGTCCGCATGGTGGCGCATTCAATTTCGGTACATGAGCTTCGCGAAAGGCCCTCGTGGCACAGTCCGCATGTCGGCGCATCACCACTTCGGCACACCCCTCACATGTTTCGTGGCCACAAAGTGAGCTCCACCGACGGCCCTAGTGGCACAGTCCGCATGGCGGCGCACTACCCACTTCGGCACATTTCTCACACGTTTCGTGGCCCCATAGGGAGCTCCACAGCAGGTCCTTGCGGCGTAGTCCGCGTGGCGCTGCCGCACCCATGTCGGCACTCCCCGCACACGTCTCGTGGCCCCACAGGGCGGCTCCACCGAATGCCCTAGTGGCGCAGTCCGCATGGCGGCGCCGCACCCATTTCGGCACACCCTTTACACGCTTCGTGCCCCATAGACAGCTCCGCCGAAGGCCCTCATGACACAGTCCGCATGGCGGCGCACTACCCACTTCGGCACACCCCTCGCACACGTGTCGTGGCCCCATAGGGTCCACAAAAGGCCCTTGTGGCGCAGTCTGCGCGGCGCTGCTGCACTCACTTCGGCACACCCCTCACACGTCTCGTGCCCCCACAGGGCGGCTCCACCGAAGGCCCTAGTGGCACAGTCCGTATGGCGGCGCCGCACCCATTCCAGCACACCCATCACACGCTTCGTTGCCCCATAGAGAGTTCCGCCGAAGGCCCTGATGGCGCAGTCCGCACGGAGGCGCCGCATCCATGTCGCCACACCCCGCACACGTGTCGTGGCCCCATAGGGAGCTCCACCGAAGGCTCTAGTGGCACAGTCCGCATGGCGGCGCCGCATCCATGTCGGCACACCCCTCACACGTCTCGTGTCCCCATAAGGAGCTCCGCCGCTTCACCGAAGGCCTTGGCGGCACAGTCCGCATGGCGGCGCCGCATCCATGTCGGCACACCCCATGTTCGTTTCGTGGCCTCATAGGGAGTTCCGTCGCTCCGCCGAAGGCCTCAGTAGCAGCGCCCGCATGCCGCCCCACTCCGGCACACCCCTCACGCGTTTCATGGCCCCAAAGGAAGCTCCACCGAAGGCGACACTCACAACCGCGGTATTCACGACTGCGTTTGGTTGGGTCCCTCGCCAGACTAATTTTCAGCCTTTCTTGCCCCAAGGCCACCTGTCCTTGCCCAGGCATTCATGTGCTGGCAGGTATTCCTATATTTCAGCTGTTGGTCACGAGTTTGGTTTCGAAATGCTCATGACTGTCATGACTTTTCTTCTGTAGAGAAGCCCTTGCACCCTTGATTGCTCACCTCTGCGACATTCTCCTTCTTCCCCTTTGCCTCCCTCCTTTCCCGTGGGGGAGGGGGTCATGGAGCGACCGCGCATTGGCCTAGCATCCTGAGACTAGCTGGTGTTACCGAAAGGGATGATGATGATGCTGATGATGATGATGATGATGATGATGGTGATGATACTGATACTGATACTGATGATGATGATGATGATGATGATGATGATGATGATGATGATGATGATGATGATGATGATGATGATGATGATGATGATGATGATGATGATGATGGTGATGATACTGATGATGATGATGATGATGATGATGAGGAGGAGGAGGAGGCGGAGGAGGAGGAGGAGGAGGAGGATGAGGTGGAGGAGGAGGAGGAACGGCGACGACGACGGCGACGACGACAACGATGACAACGGCGGCGGTGGAAGCGGCGGCGGCGGCGGAGGCAGCGGCGGCGCGCAGGTGCTCGGCTGGCAGCGCTCCAAGCGCTTCCGGACCACGCTGGTGTCCCTGGCCACGCTGACCTACAACCTGGAGCTGGCCGCCAGGCCCTCTCCCTGCCTCTCTCTCTCTCTCTCTCTCTCTCTCGGTACATAAGAGGTCGGGGACCGCTGGGCGAGGGGGGGGAGGGATGATCGCGGGCCCCCGAATCTCGATCTCACGAGAGGGGAGCATAATCCATGTCCACGCCCTTGTGGTCTGGATTCCGGGGCGTCGATGTGCGGTGGCACGGATAGGCTCCGCGCGGGGCATCCGCGAAGCAGCGTTCCGCACCCGCGGGGTCGCGGCCCAGGTCCCTGGCCCGCGAGGCCGTGGATACGGACACGCTTCCCGCCCGCGGTTGCCTACTCGGATGGCATAACCATCGGGGTGGGGGGGCGACTCACCTTCCGATGGAGCGTCCCCATTCCCCCCCCCCCCACGCCCCTCAACGCGCGTCCAAGTTTCCCCCCTCCCCCCCCCCCCCTCCTACACTCCCGACGTGGTCTCCCCATCCCTCCCCCCCGAACCCAGGGGGGGGGCGATTATTGTGCCATCCGGAGTATCCTTTGGGTAGTTCGAGGTCGGAGGCCAGTGACCGAGTAGGGGAGAGGGATGATCGAGGGTCGTTCTCGACCCTCGTTTCTCCCTCCTTCCTCCCTCCAGGGCGAAGAAATGGCGAAGAGGCGTAAGAAAGAGGTAAAAGAAAGGCGCACCAGCGAACGAGGCGCAAGAATGGCCAAGCAAAGCTGAAGACTTTGTACACTGGGCTGCTGACTTTCAGTGGTACTCGTCACGGTTCTCTTCCGAGGCTTCCGCCCGCCCCAGGCTTTAGATGGGATTTTCTTCCTTCCTTCCTTCTCTCCTTCCTCCAGGGAGGAGGGACGACTTGAGCGGTAGCTCTCACTATCGCTGCTCACCCTCAGTACGCCGGTGCTCGGTGCCCGAGGTCGCCCGCCTGCTGCTCGTGGCGAGGATCCTCTGCAGTCGGGCCGAGGTGCAGGATCGAGGTCGGCTCGTGGAGGGCACCCTAAGGTGCTTCGTGCTTGTTGGACGGCATTGTGCACCCTGGGGAGGGCACCCTTGGACGTTCTGGTTGTGTTGGCCGACGGAGGCCGTGTTCTCGAGGGGTGCTCTTCTGGCCCAGGTGCGGCTGCGCGCCCGAGGCCCTCCCCCCCCGCCGTCCCCTCTTTGCGGCAGCTCTCCTCTCTCTTTTCCCCTTGTCTGGAGGGGCCTCCGCCCGCCGCGGCCTGCCGGCTGACCGACCGCGTTGGCGTCCGCTCTCGCCAATGACTCAGGGAGAAAGTCTCCAGAGGCCCTCGGGACCCCCTGCGGAAGCCGATCGGGGAGGTCGCAGAAGGCGCGCTGCCAGGAGTGGCCCCTCGGCTCCCGCGGCTGGTACTTGGCTGCCTGGCCCCTCTGCGCCATCGGTCTCCTGCCCCTCCATGGCGGGTGCCACGCGAGCGCCATTGTGACTTCACGGTGCGCTCCTGGAGGCCCTGAGCTCCCGAAGGTACACCAGAGCCCCCGAGGCCCCCCCCCCAAAATAAACAAGAGTGGCCCCTCGGCTCCCCCAGAAACGACCCGCAGCCCTCTGGCGCTCGCGCCGTAGCGGCTTCAGGCAGTGCCCCCTTGCGCCTCCTCCCCGTGCACGGTCGCCACCATGCTTTGTAGTCCTGGCCTCCCCTTCGGAGACCTCGGAGGTCCCTGGACCCTGGATTCAGGAGGGGGAAAAAACACACAACACAATCAATCGTCGATTCCCCAGAAAACACTGGCCATATGGGAAGTGGGGGGGAAGGCAGACACCCAGAAAAGATGGGAACATTTAGGGAATCCTGTGATTCGTGTCTATTTATTTGTGTGTCCCAGGGCCCCTTCATGGATGTCTCCAGAGGCGCCCTGCTCTGGAGGCAAAGGGGCAACGAATTTCTGAGAGCCGATCTCGCACTTCGGCCCCCTCTCCGCATCGCCTTCGCTGCCGTCCTCACCATCGCCGCCATCGCCTCCGTTGTCGTCCTCCTCCCCGCTGGTCCTATGCCGCCGCAGCCCAGCAAGATGACCCCGTCGGGCCCATACCGCGACCCCGGCCCCGTTGTTTCCTCTTCTTCGGTTTCCCAGGATGCCCTCGTCACCACCGCTGGGTTCGGGTCGCCGTTCTGGTCCGGACGCACCCTCGGAGAGGCCCGGGCAGTAGCGGTGTTGGTACTTTTTGGAGTCCCCCAAATCGCTGGTGATGTATCGCCGATGTGTCGCGGGCCTGTGCGAGTTACTTCGCTCATATTCACGTGCGACCCTTCGCAGGAACGACCTTTGGTGCGGGCACGTAAGAGTGACCTGTCGCAGGAGTGACCTGTGGTGCGGTCCCACGTGTCGGGCATTGGGAAACGGCCTCTCAGAAAAGACGACTAAGGAAATCTACGCCGGTTCGGCCCCACACGGGCCCCCCCAGCACTGGCTCGCTGCTTTGGTCAAGCAGTGGCGGAACGTCCTGACATGGTTGCAGGCCCACCCGAGAACCTTCTAAGAACTTCTCTTAGTTTGCACGAAGTGGCCATGTAACGTTTCTTGCTGAGACATGTTTGGTGTAAAATACAACAGTTCTATGATCTCATTTGTCATTGGTGTCCGAACATTGTTATTGCTATCCAATGACCGTCGGCCCATCCCGCCGCCGTGCCCCGGTGTTTGGGTACATATGAAGCCTATTGGATGTTCGTTGGGATCTCGTGGGGGGCTTCTCGAGAGCCTCCTGGAGGCAGTTTTGAGGCCTCTTGGGGGCCGTTTGGGGGCCTCTCTTGGGGCTCTTGGAGGCCTCGTGGGGCCTCTTGGACGCCTCGTTGGGCCTCCTTGGGGCCTCTTGGGGGAAAATGCTAGGATTTTCGGTTCGTGTTCCCTCCTCTCTTGGGCCCCTTTTGGGGCCGTCATGGGGCCGTCTTGGGGCGCTCTTAGGCCGTCTTGGGGGCCCTCTTGGAGGCCTCTTGGGCCGTCTGGGGGCCCTTTGGGGGCCTCCTGGGCCGTCGCGCGTCTTGGGGCCCTCCCTCTTGGACCGTCTTGAGGGCCTCGTGGGGCCCTCTTGGCCCGTCCGCCCTCGTGGGCTCCGAAAAGTCATGCGGGAAGTTGCTGGGAACCCCAGGGGGGGGCGCGTGAAGTCCCCTGAGTTTTGAGATGTTGGGTTCCGGGCCTAGGAAACTCTTCAGGAGTGAGGATTGAGGCTTCGAGGATGAGGCAAAGAACCTGAGGACACGCTCACTCAGTGCCCATTGTTTTGTTGTTCGAAGTCTCAATTGGTCTGAGACCATGCCGTGGTAGGCCTACAGGATGCCGGGACGGCCGGTCCCTGCTCAAGTAAGAGTGACCATTCGCTGGAGTGTCCTTTGGTGCGGGCCCCCGGGGGTTTCCCCAGTGCTGGCTGGCACGCTTGGACTTGGCCTCCGGGCGGACCCCTAAAGCAGGACGGGCCCACTTCGGGTCGGTCTGGGTCCGTTCGGCGGCGGGCCGGTTCGGTTGATGGGACTGATTTCCACCACCACTACCAGGAGAAAGAAGAGGAGGAGGAGGAGGAGGAGAAAGAAGAGGAGGAGGAGGAGGACCTCTCCCTCCAACCTATGGTAGTGGTGGTGGAAACCAAGCCCATCATCGGTTGCGCCGCTTCGGTTTCGGCGGCGGGCCGGCTCTCAAAGCTTTGGCATGGTCGTTCGGGCCGGTGCGGCAGGTTCCAGCGGCGGGCCCCGCCGTGCCCCAGCGGCGGGCCCCGCCGGACCGCAGGGGCCATCGTTCGGAGGTGCGTGGAGTGGCCTGTGGCTGGAGTGGCCGCTGGTGCGGGCCCACGTGTCTCGGGTCGGGCGAAAGGGGGGGATTGGGAAAGGGGGGGTTACGAAATTTGCTGCATGCAGCTGGTTTCGGCCTCACCGAGGGGCCCATTCCTCGATACATAGCCGCCTCCGGCGCCGGGAGGCGCCGGGAGAATCAGCTACGTGAGCTGATTCTCAAACCCCCCCTTTGCTATCCCCCCCTTTCGCCCGACCCGAGAGAACGCCCTCCCAGGCATGTCGACTGAGGAAGTCTGCGCTGGTGCACCCGACGTGGGCGTTCGAGCGTGCAGGTGCCGTCCCCAGTCGGTTTCGCTGATCGGACGTGCTTTTTGGCAGATGCATCGAATTTTTGGGAAAGGCGATGAGCTGCACCGCCTGGGTCCACTCGGCGTGCGTTGCCGCGTGCACGTGGAGTGCCCCTGGCAGAATTTTGCTGCAAGGCGTTTTGCTACGAGGTGTTACAGTAGGGGTCCTGAAGAAGGAACCCTTTTCGTTGGGGAGGGGCTCCGTGTTCCTTGATTTGTTCACAGCTTGCCTCAGGTTTTCCCAAGGTTTTCGATACGACATCGAAGTTTAACCCATGGAAAAAAGGGGCCTCGTTCCTTATTTAGGGTTCCTTAGGTCAACGCCCCGACTGTAGGTCAGTCCTCGAACATGGGCCCCCCCGGCACTGGCCGGTGCGCTTGGCCTTGGCTCCCGCGCGGACCCCTGAATCAAGCAGTGGCGAAGCGTCCTGGCTCGCCTACCGCCCTACCAAACCATGTTCTAAGAACCGTTTGTAGTTTCCACGAATTGTTCTTAGACCATTTCTGATTGGGAGTGTCTTGTTTCAACACATCGGGTTTATGTTCTAAGAACATGGTTTATGTCCTAAGAACATTTTTGGGCTCCAGGAACATTTCCGTGGTAGGTATAAGCATGCCGGGACGGTCGGTCCCTGCTCAACTGAAACTGCGCACCAAAGGTCGCTCTTGCCTGGTGTCACTCTTGCGTGTGGCCGGGTCCTTCGCCGTCCGCGGCCGCCCCGTCGGCGCGCGTCCGCGGCCGCCTCGTCGGCGCGCGCGCCGCGCGAGGCGGGAGGGGCCGCCGCGCAGCGCTGCGGAGATGGAGCGCCAGTGGGCGGCGCTGCTGGCCCGGGGGCAGGACGCCCGCCGCGGCGGCCGTCCCTGCGGCGCCGGTGCTTCGAACGATCGGCGACGCAAGCGCAGGCGCCCGAGCTCGGCCGGCGTGGAAGGATCTTTGGTATCAGTAAGTCGGGCCTGTCCCCGCACAGGAAGACGATCCAAAAATCGTCCAAAAATCGTCGGGGGAGGATTTTTTAGCATTTTTTGATTCATTTTGCATTTTTTAAGAGATTTGTTTTTGGTTGAATTTTCGTCCAAAATCCGAATGTAGGAGGACACGCACGACCTAATTTTGATATTATCGGATCTCAAGGGACGGGGGTCAATGCAAACGCGGGTCAGTCAGGGCGCTGGATCTCGCAGGATCCTGCAGGGCCGAGAGGCGCACTGACTCAGGTCAGGGCGCAGGATGCTGCAGGATCCGGCAGCCTCGCGCAAGATCCTGCAAGGCCTGACTGATCTGGGTCTGGATTGACCCGGGTCAGTAGGTAACCTAAGCAGTGAGGAGAAAACAAGCGGCCCTTGAAATGTAGACAGGGGCCAATCAGGCCCTTGAAATGTAGTCACCGAGCGCGTTCCACTACTCGCAATTGTAAGGAAAAACGAAACACATGACTGCATCGATGTAATGTATCGTAAATCCCCCATGGCGGATCCGGGCCATGTGCGAGTAGGCACTTTGCGAGTAGTGGAACGCGCTTGTCTATGTAGACCAAGGTGACATGTATACCTTGAAAAAAATAAACGGCCCTTGAAATGTAGACCCTGCCCGAGGGACCCCGAAAGGTAGACCCGCCGGCCTTCGTGCGCGGCCTACCTTTCGAGGTCCTTCAGTCCCGGGTCCTACACTTCGGGGCGCTCGGGTCTCGCAATTCTCGGGGGCGGCTAAGAGAGGGGTGATGACTAGGGGTGTGTGGATATCATGGCGTGGGCCATGACACTTCCCCAGATTTCACGGCGCCTCTTCTTATTTCATTACGTCCCTGGCCCCCCCTTGGGCCGCGCACATGCCGCCGGCCATGATTTGTACCCCCCCCTCTTGGACGCCCCCCTCTTGGCCGCCCCCGAATTTCAGGGTGCTCAGGTCGGGGTCTACATTTCGAGGTCCCTCAGGTCGGGGTCCTACATGCCGGGGCGCTCAGGTCTCGCACTTCTGGGTGCTTGGGGTCCACATTTCGAGGTCCTTCCGTTCGGGCTCGTACATGTCGGGTCGGGGTCCTACATTTCGAGGTCCTTCAGGTCGAGGTCCTTCAGGTCGGTGTCCTACATTTCAGGGTCCGTCAGGACGGGGTCCTACATGCCAGGGTCGACATTTCGAGGTCTGTTTGGTCGGGGACTACATGTGAGCCCCCTTGCGCGAATCTACATTTTGAGACTCTTCTGGCGGGTCTGCATTTTGGGGGGGCTGCTAGCGTTTCGCTGAATCAGGAAGCGGCGATCGTTCCAGCTTGAACGACTCATGAAGTACCAGCAACCAGTGCGCACGTCGTCGCGACGTGAACTTGCCGCAGATTTGCTGCCACTTCTCTTCGCCGCCCAGGGCGCTGCTGGCGGGGGTTTATCCATAGTTGACGGCTTTGAGACGTGCCCCCGAGTATCTCGCAGGGCATTGGCTTTGGGCACCTTCCCGCCTTTGGCCAGACATATCCGCATCCAGCGTCATGCGAAACCTCGAGGGCACATGTCTCCCAGTCGGGGTTCTCGCGGTGCGTCTGCTTCGGACACTTTGCCGCCACCCTTGGGAGCGGGTATGTCCGTAACAAACGCCCTGCGAGATCCTCGGTTGGTGGCATGCCCCCATGTCGAAGGTCTCCCGTTGTGGTGGCTTCGAAGACTTCTGGTCCCCCTAAGGGCGAGACGTGCCCGCATCCAACGCTCCGTGAGATCCCAGGACGCCACCTTCTACACCTGCACCGATCCTGGCCAGGTCCATCGTGGGCCCAGGATCGGCGTATAGCCCATCTTGGCCAAGCCAGGAGGGGGTATCATACGCCTCCCCCCCCCCTGATGCACGCCCCCAGAAGGCACGTCGCGAAGAGCGTGGGACGCCCTCGAGTCTGTCGAGCAGGCAGTATCATCCTCGCCCCCTCTGCCCCTCCGCTCCTCCCGCGTCTCTTTCAGGAGGATGCGGAGTTCTGGGATGAGGACGATGCGAAGGAACATAGGGATGATGACACTGGCTGAGGAGGAGATGGATGAGGATCAGGGAGGTCATGCCGATGATGGTGGTGGTGACGATGCCGATGATGATTGTGACGGCGATGGTGCTGCTGGAGCTGACGATGGCGACGACAACGACGATGGCGACGATGTTGATGATGGTGCTGCTGCTGATGATGATGCTGATGATGATGCTGATCAGGAGGAGGATGAGGATGAGGATGATAATGATCGGGATGAGGAGGATGAGGATGAGGATGATGATTCTGATGCTGATGCTGATGCTGATGCTGACGATGCAGATGTTGATGCTCATGCTGATGATGCTGCTGCTGATGATGTTGATGTCGATGCTGATGATGGCGATGCTGCTGATGATGATGATTCTGATGAGGATGATGACGACGATGATGACGATGATGATGATGATGATGATGATGATGATGCTGATGGTGATGATAATGGGGGCGGTTATGATGATGAGGATGATGAGGATGATGAGGAGGATGCTGATTACCAACATGATGATGCTGATAAGGATGATGATGGTGGTGGTGGTGATGGTGATGGTGATGGTGATGGTGGTGGTGGTGATGATGCTGATGATGATGATGATGATGATGCTGATGACGACGATGGACGGTGATGGTTCTGGTGGTGGTGGTGATGCTGATTATGCTGATGATGCTGATGCTGATGATGATGCTGCTGCTGATGATGATGTTGATGACGACGTCTGCGATCATGATAATGAGGATGAGGGGGGTTAGGAGGTTTATGGTCATGGGGTGACGACGACGCTGCCGATCCATCTCATTCTTTTTAGTTTTCCTCGTATTCTCCGTTGTCGGCGAACGCTGTTTTTCTCGACCAGCAGAGGAGGACTTCAGCTTGCTGGACACGCTGTGGGACATGAGCATGCTGTTCTCCTACCAGGAGGGCTGGTAGGGGTAGGGAAGTGGAGGCCAGGATGCGGGAGGGAGAACGGGCAAAGGAGGGCAGAGGTGATGATGATTATGATGATGATGATGATGATGATGATGATGATGATGGTGACGATGATGATGACGATGATGATGATGATGCTGATGATGATGATGATGCTGATGATGCTGATGATGATGAGGAGGAGGATGATGTTGCTGATGATGAGTACGATAATGATGATGATGATGATGATGATGATGATGATGATGATGATGCTGATGCTGATGACGATGATGCTGATGATGCTACTGATGATGAATGCTGCTGTTGCTGCTGATGATGACGATGATGATGATGATGATGATGATGATGATGAGGAGGAGGAGGATGATGATGCTGCTGCTGTTGCTGCTGCTGATTATGCTGTTGATGGTGATGATGCAGAGGGTGCTTTTGCTGCTGCTGACGATGCTGCTGACGATGCTGCTGACGATGATGATGATGATGATGCTGATGCTGATGATGATGCTGATGCTGATGCTGATGATGATGATGATGATGCTGATGCTGATGCTGATGCTGATGCTGATGATGCTGATGGATGGTGGTGGTGCTGGTGGTGGTGGTGATGCGGATTCTGCTGATGATGCTGATGCTGCTGATGATGATGCTGATGCTGCTGATGATGATGATGATGATGCTGCTGCTGCTGATGATGCTGGTGCTGATAATGATGACGATCCTGCTGCTGATGATGACGAATCTGATGATGATGGTGATGATGATGATGACGATGATGATGATGATGATGATGATGATTATGCTGCTGCTGCTGCTGATGATGATGATGATAATGATGATGATGACGATGATGATGATGATGATGATGATGATGATGATGATGATGATGATGATGATGATGATGATGATGATGATGATGATGATGATGATGATGATGATGATGATGATGATGATGATGATGATGATGATGATGATGATGATGATGATGATGATGATGATGATGATGATGATGATGATGATGATGATGATGATGATGATGATGATGATGATGATGATGATGATGATGATGATGATGATGATGATGATGATGATGATGATGATGATGATGAGATGATGATGATGATGATGATGGTGGTGGTGGTGGTGAGGAGGAGGAGAGGAGGAGGAGGAGGAGGAGGAGGAGGAGGAGGAGGAGGAGGAGAGGAGGAGGAGGAGGAGGAGGAGGAGGAGGAGGAGGAGGAGCAGGAGGGCGAGGACGAGGACGAGGACGAGGAGGAGGGGGAGGAAAAAAACAAAATATACCTCCAGGGCAGACCTCGAGAAGATGGGACGGACAGCGAGGAACGAGGCGGCGTGGGATGAAGGGGGGGAGGCGAGTGAGGAGCACTTGGTGTGGATAAGCCCAGGCGAAGGGTGCGCAGAGCAGGGGGGAGGATGAGGTGGAGGCCTCGTCCTCGCCCTTCTACTACGTGGTGGTGATACATTGGGCCCGGTCAGGCTGCTGTTTCGGCCGTTCCCAACCCAGCCTTCATCCCCCTTGAGGAGGAGGGGGTAGTGAAGTGGAAGAGGGGAGGGAGGGAGGCAGGGAGGAGGAAGAGGAGGCATGGAGGGAGGAAGAGAGGAGGGTAGGAATATCGATGACGAGGAGGGCAGTGATGAAAAATCCCCCGACGAATGCAGGGTACTCGTCTGCTGTCGGCGATGCGCTGGTTCGAGGTAGGAGGGTGCATTCTGGCCGCTGTCTGGGCCGAGCCTGGGCTGGTGTCTTGGCATCGTTCGGACGTGTGCATTTGTTCTCGGCGAGGGCCATCGAGGAGCCTCTTGGATCATCTTGCGAGGAAAAAGTTGCACGCGCGAAATCGAACATTGCACGGGGAATGGACGTCCGAGCGATGGCGGGGTGTGTCCAGAGCACCGCAGGACACTCTCCAGCTCCCTCGGAGACGCGCGGGGAGCCAGAGACGTCCGCCACCCCCCAGCAACAAGATGCTGTGGCCATCACTCCCCAGCATCGGGCTGCGAGTCGGGGTTTGTTCGGACGGGGCTAGGACGAGGATACATCCGTTCCAGAGCGTTCCAGAACGCTCCCAGAGCGCTCTGGAACGCTCTAAGGAGGCCGCGGCGCCCGAGACATCCTCCAGAGCCGCCGCTCAGAGATCCCCGATTTATCCTCACCCGGTTTTGTTCTCGTCCTGGCTTCGCTTTACTTGTCTCCAGGCGAAGGCCGTCCCCAGTGTGGCAGTGGCGGCTCGATCGCAGACTTGGCAGACTGGTCAGTGATCCTTCCTTCCTCCTCCTCCTCCTCCTCCTCCTCCTCCTCCTCCTTCGCCTTCCCGCGTGCGCGGGTGGAGAAAGAGGATGAAGATGCGTCGGGGAAGGATCTCGACGACAACGGCGTGCTCTCGGTGGACGAGGTCGAGAACGTGGCCAAGCTGCTGGGGCGACCCCGTCTGCCTCTCGGTCCTCCTCCCTCTCCCCCTACGCTCCTCCTCTACCTCCTCCTCCTCCTCCCTCCTCCTCCTCCTCCTCCTCCTCCTTTTTTGCTCCTCTCTCTCTCTCTTTCTCTTCTCCTCTCCCCCCCCCCCCTCTCTCTCTGCCTCCTCAGCCCTCCCTCCACTTGGGGGGCGGTGCCGCGCTCCTCGCTCGCTTCCTCGCTGGCTCCTCGCTCGCTCCTCGCCTTCCTCCCACTTCCCCCGCCGCTCCTGGGGCGCTCCCCTCCTGCCTCTCGGCTCTCCCTCCGCGGCCGTCGCATCGCCGGGCAGAGGTACGAGATACCGAGCAGTGATCCGGCCCGTCTGGAGCCCCACCCGCGCGGGGGGGGGAAGTTGAAGATGGGGGGATGCAGCAGGAAGTGGCGGATGGGGAAAAGGAGGACGAGGAGGAGGAGGAGGAGGAGGAGGAGGAGGAGGAGGAGGAGGAGGAGGAGGAGGGCGAGGGCGACGGCGAGGACGAGACTGATGAACGAGGACGAGGGGAGCGAGCACGAGGAGGCAGGACGGAGGGCGGAGGGCGGAGGGCGGAGGGCGGAGGGCGGAGTGTGAGAGGACTGAGGGCCGAGGGATTCTGGTGATGGTGGTGGTTGTGATGACGACGGTGAGCGTGGAAAGGGTAAGGATGAGGGGTGACTATGGCGATGGGTTCTCAGTGCGATGGCGATGTCGACGACGAGCCCAACGTAGAACCTTTTTCTGTTCTATCTGGGGTGCGATCTTCGCCCAGCTTCCTGGCGTCATGATTCGGTGCTGTGCTTCTACGGGATGCTCCTGTTGCATCCCCCTGCTCCTCGCACTCCTCCTCCTCCTCCTCCTCTTTCTCCTCCTTTCTCCTCCTCCTCCTCCTCCTCCTCCTCCTCCTCTTCCTCTTTCTCCTCCTCTTTCTTCTCCTCCTCCTCCTCCGTAGCCATTTTGGCTCAAGCCGCTCACCAGCGAGCGAACCCCCAGTGGCTCAATCCGGCACGGCATGGCTTCCCGGTGCGTTGCGGCTGGCGGCGGGCTGCTTTCTGTCTGAGTCTTAGTTGCGAATTGCCACGTGCGGTCCTCTTCTTGTTCGCCTCCCTCCTGGCCATTGTCCATCGGCACTCGCCCGCGAAGCTGAAGGCCAGGCGCCGCCGAGCCGCCGAGCGTGGCTTCCTTGTTCCCCGTCCTGGTCGTGGGCGTCGATGGCTGAGCGTCCCGTGCGACATGCTAGAGGATGCCCGCAAAGTTACGCAGTCCATGGAGCTTCATGCTGCCCACGATGCCCAGGGAGCTGCTCCACCTCATCACGCTGCTCGCCTTGCCTCGTATGCGGTGCGGGCGAATATCGGCAAGAGCGAGTACGACAAGGCGCAGAAGATCCACAAGGCCGCCAACGCTGCGAAGCACAATGTCGGGAAGAAAGCTGCCGCGTCTGCTCTCGCCGCCTCGTGTGGCGTGCCGTCCCGTCCTGACTGTTGGCTCGCTGCTGGGGCAGACCCTTGGGCTCAGGCGCTCGCCCAGCTCCCCGCGGTCGTTTCTCGTCCCCTGGTTGCGGTCGTGCCGCCCGCCGCCGAGGCGGCGTCCTTCGTGCCCGCTGCCGCTGCGGCCCCTGCCGTGGCTTGGCCCACTGCCTCGCGCGGTGACCTGGTGGCGTTGGCTGCCCAGCTCGAGTACGCGCTGTGTCTGCTGGCGGCGCAGAACGACACCATCGCCCAGTTGCGTGGCGAGCTCGAGGCACGTGGGCACGACAGCCCTGCTCATCGCGGGTGCGGGGGCGCCTCCGATCCCTACAAGTACTGCGATACCGCCATCGAAGACCTGCACGCCGTGGTGGAGTCCAGGTTCACGAACTTTCGGGATGTGTGCCTCAGGGAGGTCGAGTGCTTCGTGACGAAGAGCGTGACGAGCATCGTGAGGTCGTCCATGAATGGATTGATGCAGACCGTCGACGCCGTCCGCGACGCTGTGGCTGCTTCGTGTGCTGCTTCTGCGTCTCCGTCTGCTTCGGTTCCGCCTTCGCCGCGGTCGTGTTCGCCGTCTCTGTCGGCCGCCGCCTCGCGTGGCGCCGCGCCCTGCGGGCAGGTTGACGCTCCGCACATGCGGCCAGCTCGCCTTCGCCGCGATGGTGCTGAATTGTGCCCTGTCTGCGGCGGCTCGGAGTTCTTCATCAGTGACGACATCATGCCGTGCTTCTGCAGTGGCTCCCTGCCTGCGGTCTTCTTCGCCTCCGACGACGATGGCGATTGGCGTTCGGACGGGCGCTGGTCGCAGTAAGGTGGCTGGACTCGCTCGCCCTCGGCTCCTGGGTCCTCTCGCCGCTCGTCCTTTCCCTGGTGGTCGGCGCCATGCTCCCTGGTATGACGTCCATTCGTGGGGCTGTCGCCTTCACTTCTCGCTCTCGCTGAGAGTTGCGGATACCTGTTAGATTCACGGTGTGTCGAACAGACTCGCTCTCTACGCTGGGCTCCTCCTCCTCCTCCCCCTCCCGCTCCCGCTCCCTTCGGTCCTTCTTGCCTTGCTCGCGTGTTTCCTCTTCAATTCATTCCGCACTCGTGTGCGTGGCGGAGGAACCGTCCATGTCTTTGGCCTCGATGCTTGGTCTGCCCTTTCTCTCCAGTATCCCTGTCCTTTCCCCTTCGTTCTGGTTCCTGCTCCTCTTCCCTTCTGGTTGCCAGCGTTTGGCTGTGTCCCGCCCTGGTCAGCCGCAAGTTTGTCTAGCCTGCTGGGCGTTTTGACTTGCCGGCTCACCTCGGTGGTTCGTGTTTGGGCAGCATCTTCTCGTGGGGCCGTCGATGTTGAGCAGGGACCGCCTCCAACGTTTCAAACACCTGCACGGATGGAGGGCGCTCCTTCTTCAGCATGGTTTTAGTGTTAGTCATCCGATGGCCAGACATCTCCAAATTGAACAGCCGCCCGAGATGCGCTTCGAAATCCGGAACGAGATTCCCGGTCCACCCCGGTGCTTGCCGAGCGAAGCCCGCTCTGCGATACTGGCGCCAGGAACAGCGAGAGTCCGGGAGAGCGAAGTCCACTCTGCTGAGGGGGGGGCGATTGGTCGGCTCGGCCTGGCCGATGGCGTTCCTTCTTCATCATTGTTTTAGTGCTTAGTGCAGGACAGCTGCCCGAATTGAGGGCGGCGTCGTTCCCAGTCGGGGGCCTCGCGCCCGACTCCCGGAGGTGCCGGGCGCCGTGGGGGAAGACCGGCTCGGAGCGAGGCAGCTCTCCGTTCACGCGGGGCTCCGGGCTCTCGCTGGACGCTTCCTGGGGCCCTCCCAGTCCTACGAGGTCCAGGGGGGGGTCCTCCTCCTCCGCCTCCTCCTCCTCTTCCTCCTCTTCCTCCTCCTCCTCCTTGGACGCCGTCCTTGTGGCTAGAAGCCGGGATGCCAGATCCCTGCTCGAGGCGAGCCGGTCGCCAGGGCCACGGGGCGGGAGTCGCTCGAGGTGGGCACTTCTATCGCAGTGGACCGGGCACGGTCTGGTGCAGGAGCTGTTATGGGGGAGGGGCTCTGGGACGGGAGGGCGTGTCGAGTCACCGTGGAGTGCATTTTGGTTTTACCTCTTCCTCCTCCTCCTCCTCCTCCTCCTCCTCCTCCTTCTCCCTCCTCCTCCTCCTCCTCCTTCTCCTCCTCCTCCTCCTCATCCCTCTTGTTCTTCTTCTTCTCCTCCTTCTCCTCCTTATCCCTCGTCTTCTCCTGCCGTGGGCCTCGTCGTGTATTCCCTCGTGTGTGGCATTGATCTCTTCGGCGGGTCGGCAGCTGCCTCGTATTCGACACGGTGGAGGCGCCTCCCTGACTAGAGGTGAAGGGCAATGCTGCGTCAATGCAACAGTTTTCCTCCTGCCGTTCCCTCCTTCCTCCCCTCCTCGTCCGCCTGCTCCTCCGCTCCCCTCCTCGGCCCCCCCCCCCCCCGCTCTTTGTCCTGAGGCGAGTGGAGCTGGGGCCGACTATAGAGGGGGGTGTGGGCCGCGAGAACTGCCACGGCCGCACCGCGGTATGAGATCGAGGTTGCTTCGGGGAGGGTACCCTGATGTTCTGCGTGTTAGTCGGAAGTTCTTGAGCATCTTGGGTGGAAGGCACCCTCGAGTGCTTTTCAGTGGGGCCGGCGGAGGGTCTCATATTCTTGAAGATGTTTTTCTGTCTTAGGTCTGGCCGTACGTGCAGCTGGGTTGGGCCCCGCCGCTCAGCGCGATCCTCGATGCGTGATCGCTCTGGGCTGGATGCAGCTGATTCCAGCTTGTTATTTTCGCCTCTCGACCCACCCGGGAGGAGGGAGAGAAGGGGTGGGGGGGGGGAGAGGGCAGGACAGGGGGGGGGGTATGAGGGTGGCGTGGGGGGGAGTAGTGATCACGATGACGAGGACGACGACGACGCCGCCGATGCTCCGATGATGATGATGATGAGTATGATGCTGATGATGATGCTGATGATGATGATAATGATGATGATGATGATGATGATGATGATGATGATGATGATGATGATGATGATGATGATGATGGTGACTATGATGATGACGATGGTGATGCTGATGGTGGGTGATGCTGATGGTGATGGTGATGGTGATGCTGATGCTGATGATGATGATGGTGATGATGATGGTAGTGGTGGTGACAGGGTGATGGAGATGATGCCTGTGGTGGTGGTGATGGTCATGGTGGTGATGTGATTGTGATGATGGTGATGGTGATGGTGATGGGGATGCTGGTGACGATGATGATAATTGTGCTGATTATGATGATGATGATGATGATGATGATGATGATGATGATGATGATGATGGTGCTGGTGCTGATGCCGATGCTGATGATGATGATGATGATGGTGGTGGTGGTGGTGGTGCTGCTGATGGTGGTGGTGGTGATGGTGATGGTGGTGATGGTGATGGTGATGGTGATGTTGATTGTGGTGGTGATGATTATGGTTGCGATGCTGATGATGGTGATGATGATGATAATGCTGATGATGCTGACGATGATGTCGATGATGGTGATGCTGATGCTGCTGCTGATGATGATGGTTATCATGATGCTGGTCATGGTGTTGGTGGTGGTTCTGGTGTTGCTGCTGATGATGATGACGCTGGTGACGATGGTGATGCTGATGTTTATGATACAAATGATGATATTGGGGAACATTATGAGTTTGGTCAGGGTGATGATGGGGATGATGGTGATGCTGATGATGATGCTGATGATGATGATGATGTTGATGATGATGATGCTGATGCTGATGCTGCTGATGTTGATGAAGGTGAATCTGGTGGTGGTGACGATGCTGCTGCTGATGATGAAGATGATCATGGTGGTGGTGATAATGGTTATGCTAGTGATGATCATGGTGCTAGTGACGATGGTGGCGATGACGATGGGAGGGGCGGGAGGAGGATGGAGTTAATTAGCAAATTCCGTGACGAGCGGATAGTTTGGTGAATGGCTTTGGGTCTCGCTAGTCGGCATGCCATTGGGCTGCATCTTTTGATTTCTCCGCTTGCACGGATAGAGGCACCATTTAGGCCCCTCGGCGAACACTCATGATATTATCCAGGGCACCTGAGGAGGAGGTGGAGGGGGAGGAGGAGGGGGAGGAGGAGGAGGAGGAGGAGGAGGAGGAGGAGGAGGTGGAGGAGGTTGGGGGGGGAGGCGGACGAATTCCTCATAGTTTTGTTGCCATTCTCAGTTTTCTTCCCCTCCCACCTCCTCGCTCCTCGACTTTCCCTGCTCCCTTCTCGCTCCTCCCTGCCCTTTCCTCCCTCCTGCCTGCCCCCCCCCCTCTCTCTGTCAATCCGCTTCCTCCCACACCTTCGCCCTCTCCTCCTCCTCGCTCCGTGCCCTCCTCCCACCCCTCCTCTTCGCCCCTCCTGCCCTCACGGTAGGTTCGCGCCGCGCGCGTTGCGGACCGTTTGCGGTTGAACGCCGCAAGTTGCCGCTTGATCGGGCGATCATCGAACGATCTGCGCTACCGGGAAAGCCGCGGTCGTTGCTTTCGTGGAAGCTTGGACGAGCCAACCGCTCCTCCTCCTCCTCCTCCTCCTCCTCCTCCTCCTCCTTCCTCCTCCTCCTCCTCCTCCTCCTCCTCCTCCTCTCCTCCTCCTCCTCCTCCTCCTCCTCCTCCTCTCCTCCTCCTCCTCCTCCCCCCCCTCCTCCTCCCCCCTCCTCCTCCTCCTCCTCCTGGCTTTCGTGGAAGCTTGGACGATGCCACCGCTGGGCCACAGCTCGGCTCTCGGGCGGCCGTTCGGGAGGGTGCTCGCGGTGTTCGACGCCTTCCGCTGGTGCTCGTCGGTGCTGCCCTTCGGCAGCTGCGCCGGGCTGCCCAGGCCGTTCCGAGCGCCCGCGCCCGCGGATCGGGGGCTGCGGAAGGTGCCCCTGGCCCAGGGTGCCCCCCAGCTGCCCGCCCCTTGGCCTCGTGAAGTCTTGAGCTGTTCTCGTCGCTTCTGCTCTTCGGCAGCTGCGCCGGGCTGCCCAGGCCGTTCCGAGCGCCCGCGCCCGCGGATCGGGGGCTGCGAAAGGTGCCCCTGGCCCAAGGTGCCCCCCAGCTGTCGGCTCCATGTTGGAGCCCCTGGGGGCCCTCCTTGGCCTCGTGAAGGGTGCTCGGGAGGGCAGGGCTGGACCCAGAAGGTGCTCTGGCGATTTCTTGGGCCGTCTTCGTTTCGGTTTCGCTCTGCGGTAAAGGCGTACTGAAGACAAAGCGAGGGAAAACGAAAACAAAACGAAAACGAGAAACACCGTTCAGGTTCAGCCCTGCTGGAGGGCGTGGGGGCCTCCTTACGATCCTTGTGGGGGCACCTTGGACCGAGGGCACTTCTAGCAGCGCCCGAGTGGACGACGCCGTGCCCGACGCGCCGCCCAGGCCGTGGCCGCAGCCATCTCGGCCCGTGGGCCCGCGGGGCCGCCCGGGCGAGCGCCGGTGCGGCTGCTGCCGGGGGTCCATGCGGGGCGTCGCCGCGCTGCTCGAGAGCATCTCGATGCCCACGTGGGTTAGAAATCCGTGTCCTGGAACCGGCCCCCATCCCCATCCCTATCCGCATCCAGACCCCCACGATTTTGCCACCCCAGTTGGGGAGACACCCCTCGAGACCCGAAGGAAACGGCCCATATCCCCATCCAGGGAGGTAAATCGGCCAGCGGGGCCCAGGCCACGCCGATGGCGATAGGGTTCGGATCAACGACGTTCAATAGTGAAGCCGCACGGCTCAGAGTAGGAAAAGATACCGACACCGCTAGTTACTTTTGCCTCGTTTTCCCTTTCTTGGGCCTTTCCTGGGAGGCCCTCGACGCCACGGCCGGATTCTCGAAATCATTGTCGGAACGCGCCCGCGAGAGGTCCGAGGAGTAGCAGTATCGGTACCTCGTGGCTTCCCCACGGACGGCATTTTTTTTCACACCAGGCCTTTTCGCCTGGCTTCTGGCCCCAGGACGATCACGGATCGATGTTGGTCGAAAAGTGCAGTGGAGGATTATCTTTGAGGCTGGGCGCCAGTCGTGATGTTCCCAGGTGTTGCATTTCTGTTCGCAATCTCAGATCTCAGCAGCGCTTTTCTCAATTCGCGGCCATAACGGGCGTTGTGTGTGTGTGTGTGTGTGTGTGTGTGTGTGTGGGGTGGGGGGGGGGGGGGGACGGGAGGGGGCATAACGTAGCGCCCCCCCGCCCCCAGATTGCGGTGCCAGACGCACTGCGGCAGTGCCGGGGACGCACTGAGTGGGGGATCGTTACGTTATGAGGGGGGGCAGGGGGGAGGGGGGGAGGGTACCGGGGGCAGAACGCGCGCCATGCCCCAGAGGGTGAAACCAGAACGCTCTCCAGGGAAGTCGGACGGCGGTTCGGCGTCCCCCCTGCTCTCGGCCTCGGGCTGAGGCCACCCGCGGGGGCGCGAAGGCAGGCGCGCGCGTCGCGCCTCGCGGCCGGGGCCGGAGCACTCAGAGCCTCCACGGGGGCCCCCGCGAGGGGCGCGAAGAGGGCAGGGCGCCGCGCAGCGCACGGCGCGGCGCGCGAAGTGCGGCGAGAGCTCGGCGCGCCCCGGCGTCAGCGTCGCCTCCTTTCGGCGCACCGCGCCGCGTGTGGGAGCGCCCTCGCCGCGCGGCGGTGGTGCACGGGAGGAGGTCCGGGGGAGGAGGCGGGGCGGGAGGCGCGCGGGAGCCGGGCGGAGGAGGCCGGGCGGAGGAGGCGGCAGGGGGGAGGAGGCAAGGAGGAGCGGGCGGGAGGCGGGAGGGGGCAGGAGGGGGCAGGAGGCAGAGGAGGGGGCAGGAGGGGGGGGGGGGGGGGCGAAGCAGGAGGCAGAGGGCATGGAAGGGAGGGGAGGCAGAGAGAGGGCCTCGAGGTTTTTCACCGCCTCGGGGCGCCCGTGGCCCTCCCGGGGCCGTGCCCAAGGCCTCCCCGGAGGAGCGGCTGCTGCGGGGTAAGGAAGCCACGGGGCCCCGGGGCCCGTGTCCGCCAAGATCAGGAGGGGGAAAAACACACAGACACAATTAATCGTCGACTCCCAGGAACATAGGGGAAAATATGGGAAAATGGGGTGGAAGACAAAAACCCAGAAAATATGGGAAAATATGGGGAATCTTTTTATTTGTGTGTATTTATTTGTGTGTCCTGGGGCGCCTTCACAAGACCCGCTCCCATTTTTGTTGTCCTGGTTGTTGATGCATTTGGTGGTTGACGCCTGAGAGTTCCGCCTCGCCACGGCTGCATTCCCGTGCGGAATGCTGGTCAGAACGCACTGGGGATCCAGGCGAGTTCGCCAGGTCGCCGTGAAGACGGACGTTGGTGTGGACGTAGATTTGGCTGTGGCCGGCCCAAGTGATACGCGCTGAAAGTAGGCAGCCGTGTATTCTTGCAGCAGGGAGGTGCTTAAACGTAGACTGGTACCTGGGAGTCCAGCAATCGAATGGCCTTCGGCCCATCCCGCCACCGTGCCTGGGTCGTGGGTCTGAATCCTCTTTGGATGTTCACTGGGATCTCTTGGGAGGCCTCTCGGGGGCGTCTTGGAGGTAGTTGCGAGGCCTCTGGGGGGCCGTTTTGGGGGCCGTTCTGGGGCCTCTTTTGAGCCTCCTGGGGGCCTCTTGGGGCCTCTTGGGCGCCTCTTGGGCCCTCGTGGGGCCTCTTGGGGCGGAAGGCTCGCATTTTCGGTTCGTGTGCCCTCTCTGGGGCCCCTTTTGGGGGCCGCCGGGGGGCCCTCTTGGGCCGTCTTGGGCGCCTCTTGGGCCGTCTTGGGGCGCTCTTGGGCCGTCTTGTGGGGCCCTCTCGAAGGCGTCTTGGGCCGTATTGGGGTGGTCTTGGGGGCCCCTTGGGCCGTCTTGGAGCGTTGGACAACAAAAAGGGCGAGAACGCCCAAGTCCTTCAAACGCCAAAGGCAAATCACTGATTTTGGCCTCTTGGGAGGCCTCTTGGGAGGCCTCTTGGGAGGCCTCTTGGGCTGTCTGGGGCCATCTTGAGCGTCTCGGAGCGACTATTCGGCGACTCGGGGCCCTCGTGGACCATCTTCGGGGCCTATTGGGGCCCTCTTGGCCCGTGTTGGGGCCTGCTTGAGCCCCGGAAAGACATGCGACAAGCCGCGGGGGCAGGGACACCGTGACGAGGCCCGCGAAATTTGAGAATCTGGGCCCCAGGCGTCTTACAGACACCCCCCTCAGGACCGGGGACTGAGGCTTCAGGGATTAGGCAAAAAGGACCCGAGGACACCCCCGCTCTGTGCCCAGAGGCGCGGTGGCGGAGATGTAACTACCTTCAATGAGCGGCCTGCAAGCTCTCAGTCCCGCAGGAGCAATAGCAAGAGCAGGAGGAGGAGGAGGAGGAGGAGGAGGAGGAGCCCTGGTTGTTTACATGACGTGCCAAGTCATGCCAAGTCGTGCTGAACTCCCGCTGTCCCTTGCACAGGTCACCTGGCGGCCAGTTTGACCTGTAGGTTGGCAGCGGGAGGCAGTGAAGAGTTGCACCAGCTTTACGGATGAGCCTTCGAGGCAGGGCACCCTTGCATCTCTCGACTCCAGGCATCATTTTGTACGGTCCTGTGCTTTCTGTCCTCCCTGTCCAAGGCCCAAAGGCACCCTGGCGTCTTGACCCTCTCAAGGTGCCTTGCACGCCCACCGTCAAGCAGGATCAGATCGGCGAATGGCTTCCCCACGGTGCCCTTGCGCCCTTGCCTCTTCGGCCCATCCTCAGCCGCTTTCGCTGGCCAGCCTCCCGAGGTATCCTTGGGGCTGGCGGCCTCCAGGGGCCCTTGCATCCCCGCACCGCGCCCTCACCACCCCGCTCGACGCGACGCCGCTCTCTCCGGCGTCCGCTGTGCCCCCGAGGCGGGGGCCAGCTCTCCTCCCCCGAGAGGCGGCGGCCGCCTGGCAGAGGCTGGGCGGGGCGTGCGGCCAGGGCCCGCAGCCGGGCGCCACGCCGGCCGCGGCTCGAGGCCGTGCGCGATCGGCCCTGCGGCTGCGGCTGCCCGCCGAGGTCCGGGCCCTGTACGGCTTCGCCGACGGCCAGGCCCCCGCGGGCAGCGGCGTGCTGGTGGTGCCCCATCGGCTGCGCGCGCAGGCGTGGCCTCTCGCCGGAGGCACCTGTGGTGCGGGCCCGCACGGGTCCCGCCGGCAGGGGCCGGCGCGCCCGGACGGCCGGGAGGTGTCCTCCCCGGCGGCCCCGCGTGGAGCCGCGCACCAGAGGTCGCTCTTGCCCAAGGTCGCTTGTGCGTGCAGCCGGCCCCAGAACCTCGCCCTCCGGTTCCTGCCGCTGGCAGGCGCTCAGGACCTGCTGCTGCACTGGCGGGGCGAGGCTGCCCATCCCGTTCGGGGCAAGTGGTGGGCAGAGGCAGGGTATAACCCGAAGTGGTTCCCGATTGGATTCAACGAGTCCAAGCATGTGGCGCTCTGCGTTTCTACTGTCGCTGGAAGGGTCACCAGATTCACCACGCCCGATGGACAGGTTTCTCATGCGACTGAGGCTCACAAGCACTTGAACGAAGGCCTCCGAGACTACTTGGAAGATTTGGACGACTATTTGGCTGGCAAGCGGCAGCCGTTCATAGGTTTGGGTATCAGAGGGCCTGCGGCAAGGTCCACCACCGTACCAGCGTAGCAGTCTGTATCTGTGGCCTATGCACCCAGGCCTACATGTGCCGTGTCCTGCGACAGCTCGCATCCCCACCAGAGAGAAGGCAGTCCATAACATGTGTAGGAGGAGCAGGAGGAGGAATTGTAGGAGGAGGAGGAGGAGGAGGAGGAGGAGGAGGAGGAGGAGGAGGAGGAGGAGGAGGAGGAGGAGGAGGAGGAGGACATCGGGAGGGGACAGTTTTGCAGTGACTCTAGGGGCGTCTTGTGGCCCAATTGGAGCGTCTTGGGAGCCGCTTGGAGCACTTCTAGGAGTGGCTGAGGACCGTCTAGAGGCCTTTGGATGCCTCTTGGGCCCTCATGAGCAGTGTTGGTGAGTTTGGGCTGTCGGGGACTCCCTCTGGGCGTTTCGGCGTCCCTTTATGGGTTGTCTTGGGGGGTTCTTTGGGCGATTGTGGGGCCGTCTTGGAGCCAATCTAACCGCACCAAGTGCAGTCTTGATCCAAAAAGCGCGGGAAGCAGCACGCATGGAAAAAAAACATAGATGCTTTGATCATATTTGAGCGCCTTCGCCATTTCTTGGGGCGTCCTGTGGCTTCTCGCAGGCAGAGCCTCATGGTCATGTGGTTCCAGAAGAGACCCCAGAGAAAGGGACTTTTGAGACGGGCGATGCAACGCGGATTTCTCAAGTCCGCTCGGCTTCGCCCATGAGGCCTCCGCGTGACGCTCTCGCTCGCACTCCTCGGGGTCTCAAATGCAGGGCCGTGGTCTCAGATGCCCCTTTCGCTAGCGTCCCTCTACAGTCGGGGCCCTGAGGAAGGAACCCTTTTCGTTTGGGAGGGGCTCCGTGTTCCTCAGTTGTTGTACAGTCTACCTTCGGTTTTCCTCTGGTTCTCGATGGGGAATCGAAGTTGCGCTTATGGGAAAAAGGGGCCTCGTTCCTTCATTCTTGTTCCTTAGGTCAACGCCCCAACTGTAGGAGACGTATCACGTGGGGCCTCTCGGACCGTCGTCGGGGCCTCTCTCGGGCACATCTTTTGGAGGTCTCGGTGGCCGCGGGGGGGAGGCTCTGCGCCGCCCCGGCGGGCTCGGGAGGGGTGCGGGTGGGGGGGGCACGCAGGGGTTACGTCGGGCCTGTCCCTCTAGAGGGGGAATATTGGGGGGGGGGGCACGCAGGGGTTACGTCGGGCCTGTCCCTCTACACGGGGAATATTCAGAAGTAGTAAGAAAACTAGCCTGGGGACGACGTTCTGCCTATTTTTGGGGCATTTTTGGAGCATGTTCTGGGTGTGTTTTGAACTCCCGTCCAGGATCCGCCTGTCGGGCCAACGCAAGGGGGTGTGATGAGGGGCGGCCCCTGGAGGCTTGCTGGGCAGCCCGGGTGCACCTGGCGTGGCCCGCCCGGGTGAGAGTCGGCGTCCGGCGCTCGGCCCTCGTGTGCCCGTGCGCGCGCCGGCCCATTCGCGTGTGTGTCCAGTGTGTGGGCTCCGCATGCTCCGCATCCGGATCCAGCAGTGTGTGTCTGTGTGTGTCGACTCAGGTTCGACTCAGTTTTTGGAGTCAGGGCCGACTCCAGTCGGCGGGCGTTCGCGACGCAGCTTCGACGCACCAGTGGAGCGAGTGGCTCCGGGAAGGTTCCCAGAGTGGGCATCCGACAGCTCTGCTAGACGGCACCTGGCATTGTCCCACGCCCCAACGTGCCATGGGCACGGCGGCGGACAAATCTAACCTCAAACATCGAGGGCCCTGGTATCTGCCTGTGACGCTTGCGCGCGCAATGAGCTGCATCGGTTATGTTGGTTTCAGTGTCTGCCGCGTTGCATATCTACGGCGCACCACGGCCAGAAATCCTGGCGTCGCTGACATCACCGCCCCACGAACAATGAGAGCGAGCCGGTCCTTCGCTGCAGACTTCAGACAGACGGTCCACACGTTACTGTCTACGCTGGGGTGATCTGCATACTCTTGATTCATATATGCATGCGCTGTGCTCACGTTGCGCTCTTTGTGTTTTGCTGGTTCCAGGGCCGATGCCTTTCTGCATCGCCCTGTCAGGGCTGCAACTTCGGATCCGATGGCAGCCCGTCTTTCTGTCCGCCCAGAAGGAATCGCATCATGGAGCGGGTCGACCTTCCATTAATCATATGTCCAGCTTCTGCACGTGAACAGTTCAACGCCGCATCCACCAGGTTCACTCCGTCGGTCCACATGGTCTGCTTGAGCCCCATAACTGCTTTATATGTAACGCCGCGTAGAGTCCGAGGCCGATACGTTTACACATTGACCGCCTCGTGAACCGACGCCTTAGGACGGCATGAGGCAGGATATATCGATATCGTTGGGCCACCCAGGCCCAAAGGTATCCACATCCGCTGCCTCCCGAGGCGAGGCAGTGAACATTTACCGAAGACCCCTACGGCGAATCACCGCCGCCCCCTGCCTTTTGGAATCGCCCATGTGGCCGAGCGTTGTGGCAAGAGCTTTGTCAAGCTATCGGACCTTGTGTTCGCCCAGCCGTTTTGGAAACCTTTCGGGGAACACTTGGGGGAGGATGGCGGGGAAGATCAGGAGGAGGAGGAGGAGGAGGAGGAGGAGGAGGAGAGGAGGAGGATTTGGTACGAGCGCAGGAGGAGGAGGAGGAGGAGGGAGGAGGAGGAGGAGGAGGAGGAGGAGGAGGAGGAGGAGGAGGAGGAGGAGGAGAGGGCATCTTGGGAGCCTCTGAGGGCACTCTTGGGGCCTCCTGGGAGCTTCCTGGGGGCCTCTGATTTGGGGGCCTTTGGGGGCTCCTCGGTGGCCTCTGTGGCCGTCTTCTGGCATTCGTGGCCCGTCTGACGCCGTCGGCAGCCGACTCAGGGTCCTCTTGGGGTGCTTCAGGGCCGTCTTGGAGGCCATGTTGGCGTCTTGGAGGCCTCTTGGGCCGTCTTGGGGCCCTCTTGGGACCGTCTTGGGGGCCTCTTGGGCCGTTCTGGTGCCATCTTGGAGGCTTCTTGGGCGATCTTGGGGCGCTCGTTGGGGATTCTTGGGCCGTCTCGGGCCGTCGGAAGACCAAAACGGAGCAACTGCCAAAATCCTTCAATGGCTAAAGGCGAATCAATAATTTTGGCCTTTGGGCTTTCCTGGAGGCCCTCTTGGGGGCCTTTTGGGTCGTCTTGGGCCATCTTAGAGCCATCTTTCGCCGTCTTGATGGCCTCCTGGCCCGTCTGACGCCGTCGGAAGCCGCCTTGGGGGCCTCTCTCGGCCGACTTGGAGCCCTCTTGGGGTGCTCCAGGGTCGTCTTGGAGGCAATCTTGGGCGTCTTGAGTGCCTTTTGGGGCCCGCTTGGGGCCGTCTTGAGGGCCTCTTGGGCCGTTCTGGGGCCATCTTGGAGGCGTCGTGGGCGATCTTGGGGCGATCGTTGGGGGCTCTTGAGCCGTCTCGGGCCGTCGGAAGGCCGAACATGAGCAACTGCCACAATCCGTCAAAAACCAACGGAACATCAATGATTTTGGCCTCATCGGGCCTTCTGGAGGCCCTCTTGAGGGCCTCTTGGGCCGTCTTGGAGACCTCTTGGGGGCCTCTTGGGCCGTCTACCGTCATCTTGAGGCCATCTTGGGCCGTCTGGGAGGCGTCTTGGGCGGATTTGGAAGCATCTTGGACCTTCTTAGGCCATCTTGGAGGCCTTGTGCGCCTTTCCGCGTGGTCGGCGGAACCCAAGTCAGCACCAAGAACGCCTAGCGTTCCAAGAGAGCCTATCATCGCTTCAAGACAGCCCAAGAGGCCCCCAAGACGCTCCAAGAGGCCCCCAAAGGGGACCCCCAATAAGCAAAAATCGTCCCCGTCCTCCCCAAGACGGCCCCAGAAGGGGGACCACGAACCCGACAGTCTAGCCTTTCGCCCCAAGACGCCCCCAGGAGGCCCCCACAGACCCCCAAGAAGCCCCAAGAGGCCCCCAAGAGGCCCCCAAAGGGGCTCAAAAAGGGCCGCAATAGGACCCCCAAGAAGGCTCAGAGAAGCCAAAAAAAGAGCAATCGGTAACGCAAAATGCTCTTCACACCAAGGCTCCCAAGAGCGAACGGTGACGTAAACAAGCTGATAAGACCAAGGCTCCCAGCAGGGAGCGATGACGTAACAAGTTTCTGACACCAAGGCCCAGCCAAGGCTCAGGAACGGGCGGCAACGCAACAATCTCTGAACACCAAGGCTCCCAAGAGCGCGGGGGGACGTAACAAGCTCTCAACGCCGAGGCTCCCCGTACGAACGGTGGTGTGAGTAATTTCGGTTTCTGTTTCTGAAGCGCTCTTTCCGTTTCTGTGCCGGTCCAGGTTTAATGGCCCTTTTTCCTAGTATTTTTTTTTAGTGAAGCGGACGGATCCCGGGCGACTCCCATGGCGTGTTTTTTTGTATTTTTCGGGTGAACCTGCCAGAGGGCCCCAAGACGGCCCAAGAAGGGTCCCAAAACGGCTTCAGAGGGCCCCACGACGGCCCCAAGAGAGCTTCAGATGGCCTTCAGACGGTCCAAGAGAGTCTCGAGATGGATCCAGAGGCCCTCAAGAGGGCCCCCGAGAAGGCCTTAGGAGGCCAGAAACATTGATTTCCCTATGGTTTTTGCAAGTTTTTCGGGTTCTCCCCTATCCCCATAGTTTTTGCCAGTTTTTCGGGTTTTCCCCTATTCAGTCCGAGAAGGGCCCCAGACGGCAAGCTCGACCCAAGACGGCCCCAGAGGCGCCCCAAAGGAGCCCAAAACGGTCCAAGAGGGGCCCTAGTCTGGCCCAAGACGGCCCAAGAGGCCCCAAAGATCGTCCCACGACGGCCCCAAAGGCCCCCCCAAGGGGCCGAAAACGGTCCAAGAGGGCCCCCAGACAGCACAAGAGGGCCCCAAGACGGCCCAAGAGGGCCTCCAGACGGCCCCAAGAGAGTCCAAAGAGGGCCCCAAGAGGCTCCCAAGCGGGCCCGAAGAGGCGGTATGGGATCTGTGCTGCTTGGGTGTAGGGACTGGGCTGCCCCAAAGACGGCCCAAGAGTCCCAAA